TTTTCATTATGACATTGTTTTCATTACACATTTCCCCCCAATTTTTTATTATTAACATTATTTTGTAATTCTAGATGTTCTCAATGGTTACTCCAATGAATTAAAAATGAATACGGTACTAAAATGATTTTTATTTTAAACGGCTTAACAAAACCAAAACAACCACAGTTACCATAATGTTTAAACACATGACAGTTTTATTTACAGTAATATTTCTTATTTTTTATTCTTGTGATTTTTAGAATGAAGTACAATACTTTTTTAGAAAGAAGATACAGAATTGTTCGTTCAATACCAAAAAGTATAGATAAAAATGATTTGAGTTCATTAAAAATGGACTAATTTTCTCAAATATTTTATACTCATTAGGCTACAATATATGTGTGCAAAAAATTATATATATGCATATAATTGCCATAATGTTTAATATTTTATGGTTTTATTTAGAATAATATTTCTTATTTTTTTCTTGTGATTTTTAAAATAAAGTATGACCTAGACAAAATGCGAAAAATGTAGATTAAACACATTGTTCATTCCATTCATACCAAAAAGTATAAATAAATATAGTTTTGAGTTAATTAAAAACAGACTGTTTTTCTCAGATATGTGACCCTGGAGCACAAAAGCAGTCTTAAGTCGCTGGGGTATATTTGTAGCAATAGCCAAAAATACATTGTATGGGTCAAATTTATAGATTTTTCTTTTATGCCAAAAATCATTAGGATATTAAGTAAAGATCATGTTCCATGAAGATATTTTGTAAATTTCCTGCTGTAAATATATCAAAACTTCATTTTTGATTAGTAATATGCATTGCTAAGAACTTCATTTGGACAACTTTAAAGGCCATTTTCTCAATATTTAGATTTTTTTGCACCCTCAGATTCCAGATTTTCAAATAGTTGTATCTCAGCCAAATATTCCTATCCTATAATAGTCCTATCCTAACAAACCATACGTCAATGGAAAGCTTATTTATTCAGCTTTCAGATGATGTATAAATCTCAATTTCGAAAAATTGACCCTTATGACTGGTTTTGTGCTCCAGGGACACATATGTGTGTGTGCTGTGTATTTTTATGCTTATTAGACTGTCACATGATTAAATTAGAAACATGTTAACTGCAAACTCTATTGAAAGTGAAGTCAGTTTTCATAATAATCTGTCTCTCTGTATTGACGTGTGTGTGTCAGATATACGGTGGCATGTGGGCGAAGCTGCAGCGCGCTGTGGCCATATGGAGCGGCTTTGGCATGACGCTCACCGGAGTGCAGACGTGTGGAGATTACATGTTCAGCGGACACACTGTCGTTCTCACCATGCTCAACTTCTTCGTCACTGAATGTAAGTTCACACACATTGGTTCCTGCTGTTTTCTGTGTGGAGCGTGGTGTTTGAGATCCTCCCTCCGTCTGCAGACACGCCGCGCAGCTGGAACTTCATCCACACGCTCTCCTGGGTCCTCAACCTGTTCGGCATCTTCTTCATCCTGGCAGCACACGAGCACTACTCCATCGACGTCTTCATCGCCTTCTACATCACCACCAGACTCTTCCTGTACTACCACACGCTGGCTAACACTCGCGCCTACCAGCAGAGCCGCCGCGCACGCATCTGGTTCCCCATGTTCTCCTTCTTCGAGTGCAATGTTAACGGACCTGTTCCAAACGAGTACTGCTGGCCATTCGCTCGCCCCGGCTTCCTCAGACGCCTCATCGGCTGATTCTCCACAGACGCTGCTGATTCTTGTGTTGCCATGATGAAGAGGAGGCCAAAACCTCTCGATCAACACACTCTCTCACTCTCTCTCACACTCACTTGCGCACACACACACACTCTTGCACACACACACACACACACTCGCACACACACACACACTCTCGCACACGCACACACACACACACGCACACTCTCACACACACACGCACACTCTCACACACTCACGCAGACACTCACGCACACACACACGTTTTCTCCAGTAGCTGCCATCTTTAAAGGGATTTCTGTGCTGCATACTGGCTTATTTGGAAACATTTACGTTCTTTATTTAATGCGAAACTAAAACTACTAAACTGGAACTACGGAAGTCTTGCTTTTCCTGTTGACTGGGAAACTTTTAGGCCTCTTAAAATGGTTTGCAAGACATGTTGGCAGTATTCGTTTCACCTAGTTTCATAATAATACTGTAGATACTTGACGTTGTAAACTCCTCGTTTCTCCCAAAGACATTTCAGATTTTTAGCGTTGTAACGATACTGACACGATCAACCTTTGAAGCAATATGAAACCTCTTACTGTTCTCTTAAAAGGTTTTGTTTGAAACCAGATGGTTTTAATTGAATTATGATCGTCACATTGGTCTTATTGCCATTATTGTTGCTATTTTCATAGTGCGGATTTTATTTTGGCAGTATTAGTGTCCATAAGGAATGACAAAGTGAAAATACTGTGTTTAAGACTTAAATTTATCCTCTGTATTTCAGTGAATCTCACAAAATCGGTCATTTCACAGATATATACTGTATATATGTTTGTCCATACATATACACACATATACATTTTTAATATTATAACATTTAATAAAAATTTAATTAATAAAACGAGCCAAGTTTATTTATTTATTTATTTATTTATATATAAATATTATTATTATTATTATAAAAATCATTAGTATAAATTTAAAATGAGTCAGAAAATGAGTAACTGCAGAAGTTGTCCTCTAGTGTTATTTTATGTAATAAATTGCATACATTTACATTAAAAATATTTATATTTTATTAAAAAATGTGTTCACTGATACTTTTCGAGCTGTAGTTTAGGCATGTTATTTAATTGTGTGTACTGTGTACATTTTCTTTGCAGTTGAAAAAGATCATATAATTAAATTAAGTAAAATTGTAATAAAATATAATAATTAATGGAATATAATAAAAAGTTGATAACATTAAAATTCAATAAAATGATGGTTCATTCATCACACTGGAAATGGAAGAAACCGTTGGATGCATTGCATTGTGGGTTGCAGTATTCAACGTAGTATGCAGTAGTTTGTTCAGGTCAATACATATACACACATATACATTTTTAATATTATAACATTTAATAAAAATTTAATTAATATTGATTTTTTTTTTTTGCATTTTGACATTTCCCCTCTTTTATTATTATTATTTTGTAATTCTTTGTGGATATATATATAAATAAATAAATAAATAAATAAAAACTGAAACAAGTGATGTTTAAATATTTTTAAATTGTAAAATGTCTTATTTTTAGAGTGAAGTATGACCCTGGCAGGTTTTGTGAGATTCATGCTGTGTTTTGTCATTGTTAATAATGAGTATATTGTAAAAGAAATCTCGCCAAACTCTGGAAAGAAGATGAGGTGTTTTGAAAAAGATCATATAATTAAATTAAGTAAAATTGTAATAAAATATAATAATTAATGGAATATAATAAAAAGTTGATAACATTAAAATTCAATAAAATGATGGTTCATTCATCACACTGGAAATGGAAGAAACCGTTGGATGCATTGCATTGTGGGTTGCAGTATTCAACGTAGTATGCAGTAGTTTGTTCAGGTGTTCAATGCATACTACGTTTCGCATGCAGGGTTTGTTTTGCACTGATCCTGGAGAAATGGAGTCTCATTGTAAAATGTCTTATTTTTAGAGTGAAGTATGACCCTGGCAGGTTTTGTGAGATTCATGCTGTGTTTTGTCATTGTTAATAATGAGTATATTGTAAAAGAAATCTCGCCAAACTCTGGAAAGAAGATGAGGTGTTTTTTAGCAGCATCATTCCTGTTGCCGATGACCTTTGAAATGTGACTCTGTCTTTATACGAACATTTGTTTTTCATCGATGTCCTGATTTATGTTCAGATTTACTGTATATGACGGTAATGACGGTACAGTTACTTGTTGAATGTTTACAATTGACTGATTGTAAAACACGTGCAGAATGAGGAAAATCATGCTGTGCTCATCTTATTTCGACGATTTCGAGTGTATTTATAGATCTCTCGTTGAGCACAGAGGATTGACTGACCTCACACGAGTTTGATGGAGATGTACAGAATCATAAGGAATTATTGTGTATTATAATGTTCATTGCTCAGAACTCCTCTGAAACATTTCCCTGAATCGAAAGCTAGATTAAGCAAACTACAAAATATTTTAAAATTTTAAAAGGTAGCTTGGGAATGAAGAATCTAGTTTGCCGCTTTCGTCTTCTGATTCGCCAAATAATTGATATACTTCATTTTCCAGTGGTTTTCACACACTCCATACGCTTCATAACACGATCTTTAAAACATGAACTCATACAGATGACGAGCAGATGATCATTGTGCTTGAAAATGCCATTCAGCCTCTTATGGACTTTGGTTAGGCCTGGAAGTGTATTTTTGAAGATTTGAGTGAATATTGTGTTTGATTGGATACAGATGGGATTTTGGATGCTCTGGATTTGTTTGGTTGCTCACCATTTGTCTGCCATCATCAATAAAATTTACAGATTAAACTGAAATGAGAAAAGTGGAGTTTCTGTCGTGCCAAACAGCCCTTTTAGGATGATAATAATAATAATAAAAATGAGCATAACAGCTAGTCTTTGGGTCCTGATCACCCCATTCTAAAATTTAAAAGACAGCTATATTTTTTAATGTATGAAAATCCAATTTAAACTGTGAAAAAATTATAATATAAATATGTGTAACATACGATGTAAACATTTTAATTTTTTCCTATTTTCTTTAACATTTATATTTCTTCATTTTAATCCATCTTCATTTTTTTTTATTTTAATATTTTTATTCATGTAGTTTTATTTATTTGTTTAATCTTATTTTTATGTTTTTACACTGTTTCTTTTCTCCTAGCACTTCCTTGTAGCCCCCTGAATAATAATAAAATAAATATAATATAAATATAAATGTAAAATAAATGTCGGACTTTCCCTATTTCAATATAATTTTATCATAATAAAAATAATAGTTATTTTTTTTATTATTAATAATAATAATAATTATTATTATTATTATCACTAACTCATTTGAAAGAGGCAAATTCTGACATTTACTTTATATTCTACATTTCTTCTATATTATTATTATTATTATTAGACATTCAGAATATAAAGTGAATGTCAGAAAATGACTGTTAACAACAGTTTTTCCAGGTCCTTATTTTCATAATAAATGATGCATATTTGCATAAAAATACGCCAATTTTAAATGAAGTAAAAGTAATAAGTCAATAATATAATTGTTATTATTATAAACGTTTACAATATAAATAAATGTCAGAAATGCATATTTATTGATCATGTATTATATTTATTTTATAATCAAATGTTTGTTTGTTTGTTTTGACATTGCTTCCCGAGCTCTCCGTTGCTATGGTTGCGGTCCTGTATCTGATGATCCGGTCAACTTCATTTACTCCTCAGCTGCAACCACGGCGCTGCTGTTTTGAGTAATGCTAAATGTATCTAAATGTCCCATATGTATGTATTAACACAAAATAATCAATTCAGAAATTAATTTTTATGTACTCTTAACAAAATAATCCAGTCGGAGCTGCTGATCATGTAATTTGAGTCAGGCATTATTCGGGTCGTGGCTCAGGGGTCCTGAAGCTGCTGTGTTATATTAGCGTTAGCCTGTAGCCCGACGCGTGAGTCTCCTTCATCTGTCGCCGGTTTCTCCGTGTCCCGGTTCTGCTCACGGGTTCTGCTCACGGGTTCTGCTCACGCGTTCACCGGTTAGTGCCGTTCAGAGCTTCCGAGTCTCTTCTGTCTCTGTGTTTGCTGATGTGAGGCTGGGCTTTAAAATGAACATTTATGTTGGTCCAGGCCTCTTCGAACCGAACCAGCGCTCAACCGATAAATGTGGACATGTCTGCGACAGACTTTATTATTATTGATGATTATTATTATTACTGCAACAGATCATTATAATTATTGTATTTTTATATTGTTATGAATAATTGTTATTATTATACATATTATAAATTATTATAAATGTAGAATGTATAGTTGTAAGATGTCAGAAAATTATTATACAGAATAACTTTTTCCAGTTTTGAATATTGTCCTCTTGTGTTATTTCATTTAATAAATGACATACATCTACATACATTTTAAATTATCATTTTTAATGTGTT